GCTCCCCCGGCCGCGCTCGGCAGCCGTCTCAGCGCCCGCGGGGCAGCCCCCCGAGCGCCGCCATTGCCGCCCCACAGTGCTCCGCGCGAGCGGCCGCTCTCGCCCGCGCACCGCCGACTCACGGGGCGCGCAGCGCTACCGCCCTCCCAGCTACCACAGAGTGGCGGGCGGACAGGCGACGCCGCGCACACTTCCGGCGCACAGAAGGGCGGGGGGGTGACGTGCGGCGGCGACAGCTGGCTGGGCCAGGCCGCCCAGGGCGGGGGCGGAGCCAGGGCCTCCCAGGGCGGAGCCGGGGCGGGGCCAGGGCCGCCCAGGGCGGGGGCGGGGCCGGGCCGCCCGGGACGGGGGCGGGGCCAAGACCGTCCCAGGCGGGGGCGGGGCCAGGTCCGCCAAGGATGGGGCGGGGGCGGAGCCGGGGCGGGGCCAGGGCCGCCAGGGCGCCCACACCGGCGCGCGCCCTGGGGACCACGGGGCCGGGCGGGACGCGGGGCCACCGGGGTGCACGGGGCCCAGCTGGAGCCGCCGCGAGGTCCGTGGAGCTGGCGGCCGCTGGCACACATGGAGCGCACCTCTGGAGCGGAGTTCGGAGGCTGTGCAGGCAGTGTGCACGGCCAAGGGGCACCTTTATTGTCACTGCAGCTGCACATGGAGCCACGAACTGCTCTGCCCCCTGCCCGCCCGGGGCTGGGGGCTGCCGCCATCCCTCACAGGGCTCCTTGATCCCGCAACACTTCAGCCGCGGTGATCGGCTCCCACGGCCGCGGACACGCTGTCAAACCCCTGCTCCCTGCGCAGAGAGGCCATGAGGGCCGTGCCCGGGGAGCAGGGGGCCGCGCCACAGCAGCGCTGCACGCGCACTCACCTCAGCAGCTCCTGCAGCTCCCGCTTGACGGCGCTCACGGCGGGTGGCCCGCGGTACACCAGCGCCGTGTACATCTGCACCAGAGACGCTCCAGCACGGATCTTCTCCAGTGCATCATGCCCGCTGCTCACGCCCCCGACTCCCACGATGGGCACGCGGCCTGCAGCCAGCGCAGCGTCAGCGCAGGCAGCATGGGCACCCAGCCTGCCCAGATTTGCACCTACCTTCTGTGAGCATGTACATGTCCCGCACGGTCTGCGTGGAGAGCTCACGCAGCGGAGCCCCGCTCAGCCCGCCGGGCTCCATGCGCCGCTGGCTCCGCAGCCCGTGGGGGCGGCTCACCGTGGTATTGCTCACGATGAGCCCATCCACACCGAGCTGCGGGGGCGGCGCATGAGTCGCAGCACGAGCCACCCCCAGCCACCCGCCGCCGCCAACCCTCACCTCGCACACGACACTGGCGATGTCCCGCTTGTCCTGTGCGCTGAGGTCCGGGGCAATCTTCACCAGCACGGCCGGCTTGCGCTCGCAGGGCAGTGCATCCCTCTCCGCCAGCACCTGCGGGCTCAGGCATTGGGCCAGTGCTCTTCCTGCATGCGGAAGGGGGGGCCCAGCCGCGGCACCCACCTTGCTCAGCAGGCTGCGCAGCTCGGCCCGGCCCTGCAGGTCCCGCAGCCCTGGTGTGTTGGGGCTGGACACATTCACCACCAGGTAGTCAGCCAGGGGACCCAGCACCTGTACACCAGCCACGTAGTCGGCAGCAGCATCCACAGAGCTCCTGTTCTTGCCCAGGTTGATGCCGAGCGGCATTCCCGCTGGAACGGAGAAAGCTCAGCAGGGGTAGTCCTGTCCCCAGCTGCGGTCAAAGAGGGACCATGCAGCTGCTCATCGCTCAGCCCTGATCTAGCCTGGCAGGTGACAGCACCGTGGCTGCCCAGTCCCATGAGTTCCAGTCCCACAGCAGCCGTGGGGCAGTGCCCGGCTCTGCCACTGCCCTCACCTTCGGAGAGGCGGCGCTGCGCTGGCAGGCGGGCGCGCAGCCTGCGCTGCACCGCGTCGTGCCCGTGGCTGTTGAAGCCGTACCTGGAGCAGAGCAGGGCGCTCAGCACCGGGCGGGACATGGGGCGACAGCACCCAGCTCTGCCCTGGCAGCCCCCACACCCACCGGTTAATGACGGCCTTGTCCTCCGGCAGCCGGAACACCCGGGGCTTGGGGTTGCCCTCCTGCGGCTGGGGCGTCACCGTCCCCACTTCCACAAAGCCAAAGCCCATCCCGTACAGCCCGTCCACAGCCTCGCCATGCTTGTCGAAACCAGCTGCCAGCCCCACCGGGTTGCGGAAGTGCCGCCCGAACACGTGCGTCTCCTGCGGGGTGCAGCTGGGTCAGCGCCTGTGCAGCTGGGTCAGCGCCTGGCACCAGGAGCCAGAGCTGTGGGAAGCGGCGGCTGTGCAGCGCCGGAGCCCAGCAGGGGCTGCAGCCGGGGCCGTCTCCTCGCCCACAGCGCCCAGTGCCCCCGTGTCCCACCCACTCCCTGGCACTGCCGACCTCCCTCCCACAGCCCCCAGGGCTGCACCTCCCTCCCACAGCCCCTGTCCCCCCGCCCCTCTCCCCACAGTCCCTGCTGCCACCCCCCCTCCCCTCCCAGTGTCCCAGCCTCCTGCCCCAGGCCCTCTGGCAGCCCTGCCTCCCTCCCCGGCGTCCCTCCCCAGGGTCCCTCCCCGCTTCGTGATCCGCACCAGGCCGGGGCTGTCGGGCCGCGCAGGTGGCAGGATGCCGGAGGCGGCTGCGCGCAGGGCCAGGCCGTGGGCGGCCTCGGGCGGCAGGGCGCGGAGCACGGGCATCACGGCCGTGTAGAGCCGCTCATCGCCGGCTGCCAACGCGCAGCCCAGCAGCAGGCCCCCGCCCGCCAGCGCACACAGCCCGCGCTGCAACGCGCCGTCAGTGAGCGCCCAGGCTGGCACCACCACGGGCCACCCCGTGCTGCACCCCACAACTGAACCCTGCATCCCCGCACTGAATCCTGCACCCCCCCACCCTGCACCCCCTACCTTGCACCCCTGCACTGAATCCTGCACCCCTGCACTGCACCCTGCACCCTCCCCCCTGCACGCTGCACCCCCCATCCTGCACCCTTCTGCATTGCAGCCTCCCCCCCAGCTGCACCCCCGCACTGCACCCTGCACCCCCGCACTGCACCCCCTGCACTCCCGCACCTCCCGGCCCCCCACACTCCCTCAGAGCCTCCCCCCTCGCCCCACCCCGCACCCATCCCCTCCCCTCCGTCCCCGCCGTGGCCCCGCGTCCGCCCCGCCCCGCGCCCGCTCACGCGCAGCGCCGCTGCCGCCACCATCGCCCAGATGGACACGTGCACGGGGCACTTCCTGGAGAACTGGCCCCGTGATTGGCCGATGCCGCACTGTACTAGCCAATAGTGACGCAGCAGCGCGGCGGCTGGCCAGTACGAGCAGAAAGGGCTCGCCCCGCAGTCGTGACGTCACGAGGGAGAGGAGCCTTGTGGCACCTAACGCCGCGGGGAGCGCCCTGGAAAGGGGGCGTGGCCTGAGCGGGGGCGTGGCCTGAGCGGGGGCGTGGCCTGAGCGGGGGCGTGGCCTGAGCGGGGCGTGGCCTGAGCGGGGCGTGGCCCGTCACGGCTCCCGCTCCCGGCCCGTCCCGCCGCTCAGCCTCCCGGGCTCGCCCGGGCAGTGGGGCCGGGCAGATGTTGATTTGCCCTCGCTCTCCCCTCGCTCATGCTGCTTAGAGGGCATCACGCACCACAAACCTGCGGACCGCACCACAGAGCCTGAGGGAGCTTCATCAAATGCCCCAAAACCAACCCCCAGCCTCAGCCAAGAAGAGCCCAGCATCCCACTACACTCGGACACAGCTGCTCCCACTCCTAAACTTTATTAAGAACTAGTCTGTAAGATACAAACCAATCAAAACCTTCAAAGAAAAGTTGTGTGAAAATGTTATGTACAGATACATTACACAGAAGAGAGCAAGTCCCGTTCAGCAGCCGCCCCCACGTGCAGGCACACAGGAGCCAGCGCTGCAGGGGCGCTGCTGCCAACAGCCAAGCTGGAGGTTTCCCACAACCCTGCTCTCAAGGGAAGCAAAGTTACTGCCCAGCATCCAGCCTCCCAGCCCAGCATAGCTCTCCACAGGCTTTACAGCAGGCAGCTGTTTAAGGCAGACTGAGAAGCCAGCACCTGGCCCTGGTGGCCGCTCCTCCCCAGGGGCTGGGCACGCTCTGCAGGTGGCTGCACAGCCCTATCTTCATGCCAGGCGAGCGAGCCCTCCTCGGTAACACAGCCAAGGCCACGGAGGGCTCCCTGAGAATCCACTGGCACTAACAGCTTCAGCCTCCAAGGCAAACTGTACCTAGATCTAGCTTCAGCCAGGGGCTGGCCTAAGAGCCAGGGCACCGCAAAACAGCCAGGGCAGCACGGAGGCCACTCACAACTCGCCCTCTGGGCCACAAAGCAGAGCTGAGCAGCACATGTGCGATGCTCCCCCAGAGAGGGATTGACTCTGGTCATCTCTCCACCTTTATCTTCCTTCTCCATGAAAGGAAATGCAGAGCCATGTAGAGGCAGCCAGGATTTGCCTTCCTGTGGAATATAACCACCCAGGCAGATAGGAGCTGTTCCCTGCTCCAGTCTCATGGGATCCCACCATAGTTCACCCCTCCTGCAGCAACAAAGACTGGGAAAGCAGGGGCATTTGGTATAAGTACAGCAGAAAGAGGGCTCAGAAAGAAAAGTGCATTCATTTTAAGTTAAAACAGGAAACCAATTTCTAGGGGAGTGTTTCAGAGAGTAAAAGCTGTCACAGCTGCTGCCTCTCACAGCAGAGCTACAGGCCAGACTGTCTTATGTTTTCTTCTTTAGCTCCTCAAATCTCCGAGAAAGATCATCAAAATCAATGTCTTCTGAGGCAGAAGAATTGGCACCAGCAGATGCTGTTGGCAGAGTATCCGGCACTGATGGCAATTCTGGCAACACAAAGTTGTCAAAGTTATCAGGAACTCCAGCTCTTGGTTTTGGAGTAGGCTCCGCCTTGGGACTAGGCCCTATAAAAAATAAGGGAAATACCATTTAACTTCACCATTAGACTGTCCCCACACTGAGCCACACAAGAAAGGTCACTGTATCAAACTGCAGCCCCAGTTTTCCAGAGAGGGCTGATAGTCACACACTTCCAACTGCACTTAACGAGGAAAAACACATGGTACCAAGTTGACATTGCTGGAAGGAACTGCAGTCATGGTGGATCAGGCTGGTTGCCCTTATCCTGTGGCAGCACCACCTGGAAGTGGATCCATCTCCTGCTGCTAGCCTGCTGTGGGTGGGCTGAAGCTCCCACGCACATAGCACAAATGTACTATGTCTAGGGAATTCAGATTCCCCAATTACTCCATTCCAAAACCCTTGAGAGATGCAGCTACTGCATGCCCTTATCTGTCAGCCTGAAGCATCCAGTGTACCTACAGGTCAGCCTCCTTCAGCATGTCACCTGTCTCCTTCAGCTTTCATTACTAACAACATCTTTCCAGACAACTCCATTGAACTATTAGAAATAATTGCTAGAGCTGGCAAGGGTCTATTTACTTAAAAAAAAAAAAAAAACTACTTACTATGTTTTTTGTCCTTATCAAGTGGCTAGAGACAGTAAAAAGTATCCCTGAAGTATACAGTATAGAACTAGAGGTGTAAGGCTGCAGAATTTTGCTACAGTCCAGTTATGGTGCATGAAACAACTCAAAAACTTTTAGGCAACTGGAGACAGGGATAACAGCTATCTCTACTAGGCCTGCTATAGGCAATCTTCACACTGAAATTAATTCAGATTTACTTAGTCCTTACTTCTTTCATTCTGTAGTTGCAGGATGTGATTATTCATCCAATATTTTTAATATATAAATATATATGTGTGTGTGTATATCTACCTCACTTTAATCTGTTATACTCATCTTATCCTGCAACTCCCTACATGTAACTTGACAGCTTAAGCTGGAGGCCATGTACCATCTCTGTGGTCAAGCTCTGGTTTCTCAGTGGAAGTCCAGATCTGAGAGGACACTCTCCATTTCTGACACAGTTTACTCCAGCCTCAGACAGATCCTACTTCACAAGGCATCAAGTTCAACACATTGTTTCCTGTAGGGAGAGCTTCCTCCCAGGGACACTAGGATCCCAAGCCAACGACAGCCCCAACCTATCCTGTGTTTCCACGCTTCCTGGTGTACTTACCAGATGTCTGTGTAGAAGGATCTTTGTCAGCATTAGGCTCATCAATCTGAAACAGATACTCAGTTACTACAGGTTTTTCTCTAAGCAGTCACAGGATTGCACAGTCTGTAAGTACTGCACACGGACAACAGCAACCACATTCACAGAGCAGTAAAAATGCTCTTTCCCTCCCAGGAAGATAGACAACCCTAATACCCAGTACACCCAGAAAAATCTCTCTCTTCCTAAGGAGGCAGTACTTCCAGTCTACTCTCCCTCCTTGTCAACCAAAGCAGCTTCAAGGCACTTCAAAAAAAAATTCACTAGAAGGGGAATCAAGAAGATAAGTTAAAGACAGCTGCTATTTACACACCTACGCAGAGAATGGTAGCTTCCCTTTATAAGCCATTAGATAAGGTCTTGTGACGAATATATGGCAAGGGATGAAAGAACCCTACCTCAGGTCTTGATGCAGCTGGGACAAAGGCTCACAGTATTGCCAGCAGTGCTGGAAAAGCTGCTCCCAAGGGCAGCAGAGCCATCTACCTCCGCCCAGCTAACAACTCTTGCATCTAGGCCTGCACTTCCTCGATCCAAAGGCTGTGAGCAGCTAGCAGGTGATGTCAGCACACACTGAAAGCCACATGACAGGCATCATCATGACCTCCAGCAGAGACACAGGCAAACACAGAAAGAGAAAATTCCAGCACTTCCCTCTCTTGGCCCTAAAGGCCTAAGAAGAGTTTGGGAAAGAGAGTGTATTTAACACACATCAGGTGGGTCAGCCAATGTTTTCATCCAGGTTAACTACTGAATTAGTTCAGAATCCATAACAGAACAAGACAAAAGGCTACAAAGTCTTCACACTGGAAAAAGCAGAATTGTGGACTCTGTTTGTTAACTATGTATCACCATTTTAACAATGCAGGAAAACAAGTTTTGGCTTTCTTCTACAGCCAAAACATTCAGCTGAATGAGGAGCTTCCCCCTCACACGCACTCAGTGATTCACCACACCTAAAAGCAATGCCAACCACCACCAGTTCCAGAGAGAAGAGTTGAGAGCAATGTGCTTAATGAACATTTGTCTTCCCCATGCCTATCGCTGCCCTCCACTATCACTCTTTTGGAGGTTCTCTGTCTCCCACAAGGACGATTCACCTCAGACACTTACAGACTCATATGTTGGTGGGTTTGCCGGAATTGGTGGCGGATGAACGTTCGCAAAAGGCTGGTAGGTCCCCACTGGTAGGCCATTGAAGTTCTCCTGTAAAGAAAAACAAGTTCAGTTGTGATGCACAACTCGTGCTCCCCAGGCAAGTCACCTGGGAGTACTCCTGCAGCTGCTAGCTGGGAGCTCGTAGGAGCTGCAGCTGCTAGCTGGGAGGCAGAGAGATAGTAAATTAAAAACACATGCACACAAGTATCAAAAGTTATTTACATACTATAAAAACAAATAAACAAAAAATATATTGGTCAGATGTAGTCACCTGGGCCAGACCAGCTAAGAAGTCTGCAGGCTATTCTGAAGAACCAGCTTGACTAAAGAGTCCATCTTTTAAAGTATTACAAGCACCAATGCAAACGGAAAACATTCTGCCTTAAGAATTCCTAAGCTACCATCACAAAACAGGGAGACGGTCCCTCTGGGTCACTCAAGGCTTTGTCCTACCCTTGTCTGTAACAGAACTGTGCTTCAAAGACCTAGACTTGGAGAGAGTCTTCAGCATATTTATGCTGGGACTCCAGACAGCTGCTAATACCTGGCCCAGATTTTCTCTGAAAAACACTGCAGCACTGCAGAGGCCATATTAAGATACCATTCCACTGTCCTGCCACTGTCTAGTCCACACAGACAACTGAAGTGCATAATCCAGCAAAGGGCCTGTGACAAGGTGCTCTTCCCCATCCCACCTTCCACCCTTGCAAGGAATCATCTCCAAGGGCCCCTGGCCTGGTCCCCTTTCCTCACAGGTCTGAGGACAGGGTGCTCTCGTGTTTATCCCTTGCTTCTCTCCTGACAATCAGCAGAGGACTGCCTCAGGAGTCAAGTCTGGACTCCTCTGTTTCAAGGGAAGAGTGAGCTGTCTGGAGAACAAGAGTAGAAATTTTCAAGGACTTGAAGCAAAAGGAAACTTCAGATGCAGTGACAATTCTTACCCAATGTAGTCTCACAGCAATAAGGCAGCCTTCCAATTCAGCAAGATACTGGACATTTCTCAAAAATCAAGCGCAGGATTAAGCATTACAAGCAGAGTCTCCCCCAGAAAAGTTAAGAGTTCAAAGCACGGACACTTACTGGTCCCTTTGAGGGTGGATAAGAGAATGGTGGGTTTGGTGATGGCATGGGCATGAGCATTGGCATTGGCATGGGCATTACTCCATCGTGACCAACCAGCGGCGCTGTAAATCCACCACCACCTCCCCCTCCAGGGCCATCTTTCTTCACATCATCAGTGAATCCCACGTCGATCAGATCTGCCTCTCCAACTGCAGGGGCTTCAGCCTGGGGAAAGGAGGAAGAGCTCAACTTACCAAACACATCACTATTCTGATCAAAATCCACTGATTAGAATCAGACACAGCATTTGCTGTGTAAGAGATGGGTCAAAGCAACAAGGACAAAACAGAAAGCAACGACAGAGTGATGCTCATGAGAATCAGAATGAGGTCAGACAACAACAAGACTCACTACATCCATTTGCCCTAGGGGATGTGGAGAAGAGTGAAGCTGCTGCATTAGAGCTGTCCAGGAGATAGCAAAGCACAGCTACCAGAGCTTGTTGCAATGGCACAGCTCTCTGAAAGCCAGCACAGTGCAAAGGAGACATTCCAGCTGCTGGAACGCAGAGGGAGTTCCAGACTTGCATATGCCTCACTCACCATCACCACTGAGTCGGGTTCATAGGGTACGTTGTAGTTCTTGGCAATCTCAATGAGGTATCTCTCCACCAGGATCTTGGGTGGTGCCTCTACACTCAGCTTGTGCATCAGCTGGAAATACAACGGTGTATGGACACTGAGCAGGTGCAGGGCAGCACAGCAGAGCTCTGTCCCACCTGCTGCAGGGAGCAGAGTGTAGCCTTGGGGAGGCCCTTCCTGTGGCCACTGCTGTCACAACGGAGGCCGCTGGCACCCAGAGGACAGGGGTCTGTGTGTCCTGTTCCTCTGCGACCAGGGTACAGCAGGGTCCCACTCATGCCATGCTCTGGTGCTTTAAGGCACACAGGCCTTCAGCAGGACGGACAGTCCACCCGCCCCGCAGAGCCAGGGGACAAAGGTCAGAAGCTGCACTTGCAAGTGCAGCTGCTCCACCAGTTTGTTACCCTGTCATTGACTGTCCCAATCTGGTTTGTCCGGCACAGCTTCCCATATTCCTTGCTGTACTTGGCACACAGCTGGTCAGCAACCTGCAGCGGGAGAGAAACCCTGAGGAACTGCACACCCTTGTTCTCCCCGTCACACTCCCCACATGTGCTGCAGTACTGGCAGCCTCCCGCAGCCATCCCCCCTTTGCTTCTGCAAGTATCACAGCAGAGCAGCCACAGACACCCCTGAGGCTCCACGGCTCCTCACTGAAGTGGCAGCCATGCTGTACGGTCCAGGAAGATACCTCCTTAACCTCAGCAATACCCAGACAACAGCCTCCTCTGCTTTCTAGCAGTACCACTTCCACCCCACACGTTACACCCCTCAAACAGGCCTACTCACAATCTTCAACTCAGCCACTTCCGACTGGAGCCGTGGGGCAGCCCATATCAGTGTAGACACAGCTTCCGCCAGGCCGGAGTCCAGCTCCCTAGGAACCAACAAGACAATCCTATCCATACCAAGCACCCATTCTTGGCAGCCCTCAAGCTGCTCAGTCTCAAAATCCTCTTCCTGAGGAAGAAAAGGGGTCTCCTGAGGCCTTGGGACAGTGAGCATATCCTGTCCCTGTCCCCAGCAGGCCTGATCCCACTGCCACAGCGCATCCCTAGGCTGGAGCTTACTTCATGGACTGGATCAAGCCAAAGCGGGCGAGCAGCAGATCGCAGTACAGCTCCAGGATCTCCATGGCCTCCACCAGGTAATCTTCTCGGATGATGTGCTCCACACGAATCCTGGCGCGTTCATCCTTCCCAGCTGCCAGATAATCTGCAATCTCCTTCCTCGCCTTCTGGGCCAACTCCGCTAGAGCACATACCCCCAGGGCTGGTCACTGCGCTGGCAGGGCTGCTGCCTCCATCCCCACACACAGTCCCCAGACGCATAAATCCAGTGCCAGTTTCTCTCTCCTTCACCAAGTCTGTGGTGCGAGACACTTGGCCACAGCTTTGTGGAGCCATTGTTTCTCACTCCTAGCATGGTAGCCCACCAGCTACAGGAATGGGTTTTTAGCTGCCAGGACTGTTCCTGTGCCTACAGCTCCACTGCAGAGCCATTGGTAATCTCTCCTGTGTGTCCAAGCAGGACAGCACAGGCAGGGCCTTCCTCATCTCCTCATGCTCCTCCCAGCACCATGGCATGGAGAGAACGGTCAGCAAAGGACCTTATGGGCAAGCCAGGCAATCCCTCCACAGTCCCCAGCTGCCACCCCACACAGCTTGTCAGCTGCTCTCAAGCAGCTTTGGAGAGGGCAACCGAGGCCCCTCAAGAGCCAGTCTGCTCCCGCAGGCACCACACACCAGGGAGGACTGCAAGCCCTGGCTCCAGGAGTGGGAAAGGAAGAGAGGAAGGTTGCTCCACATTTGCTTTTTGAAATTTCTACAACCCCAGAAAAGTCTCCTCTAGCATCTTGAGCCCCCCGACCAGCCTGGCTCACACCTATCCCCAGAAATACTCACTCTTCTTCTTCTCCAGAAGCTTGAGGCGATTGATAACAAGGCGCAGGTTGACTCGCAAGCGCTCAGCCTTGAAGCCAGAGCCCAACATGACCAACGCTTTCTGTGAGAGAAGAGCAGAGGGTCACTAGCACCAGGAGCTGCTAACGGCACCAGAAAGACAGCAGTCACTGTTATACCTAGAAACAAGCAATTCTTCAGATTAACAGCTCTGTTGTTCCTGAGTCTGCTCACATACAAACAACTGGATTCATAGCACCCACTGTTCTGCTTCCCCCCTTACAACTTACCAGGGTCTACAGGGAATACACAGGGTATTTCTAGTCTGACAGAGTTTCAACCACAGAAACTGTAGCATTTTCCACCAATGTGAGAAAACATCTTCACTCCTCCAAATGCTCAAAGAGAAATAAAGTGCAAAATCTGGGACTACTCCATAAGGTAGTTTTGGAGTAGAGGTAAGGTAGTTTTTGGCAGTGTTTTCCAAGGGTGGAAAACATACCCTAAATTATAACTTAAACACCTAAGTCAATTTAATCCAGACAAGTGACACCAGCCACTGGCTTGAATACAAGAGGACAGCAGATTTTAAAAACATTGCACAAAACATCCATCAGCAGCATTCTAGAAAAACATGGTTATGCCCACGCTCAAGAAACTGAGCTAGATGGTACCTTGAGCTTCCACCCAGCCCTCAATCTCTACAAAATCCAAGTGGAAAAAAACAAACAAAAAACAGATCTCACGAACATCTAATAGCAGCAAATAATATCCTGCAGTAAGCAATAAAGTGCTGTTAGAAGACAGGGTCACACTTCCCTACCTTCCACTGCAGGAAAACACAGCAGTGCCTAGAGATGCCATCTACAACAGCTACCACTGCCAGATCCTCCCTCTCAGTTACTTCCGCCAGCAAAGCCTCATTAGGCTTCTCTCTCCTTAGAGATCGCGTTGGTGGACTGCGAGCAGCAGAACAAGCACCAATAACCCTCTCGATGAGCCACACAGGCAGCCCTGCACCAATAACTCTACTGCAGGGCTGGGGAGCCGGGGCTGCGAAGCAGGGTCAGGCTCCCTGGCAGCAGCCAGAAGCTCCCAGCTCCTTTATTTTCCCCACACTCCCACTGCTGACGACACACCCTGGCACCCAGCCAGTCCCTCGTGAGCCAACGCAACTCCCAGCAGTAAACTACCTTGAGGCTTCTGATCAGGGCCTCCGTTGGCTGCTCCTTGCGCCAGCCTTCCATGGAGCTACCTGACCGGAGGACCTGGGCTCACGCCTACTGGAGACTTTACAGCAATGTTGTGGATAGCGACAGCACTTTGTCGGCACGGGGATCACATGTGATTTGTTATGCTCCGTGACCAGCCTATTCAGCCGACCTGGTCACACACCAGTGCCAGCAACCAGCACCTCGAAGCAGCACAGACCCAGCAACACACCAAGACAGAGGCCCCAGGGACGCACCCAGGCCCCACGCGCTCCGAACCTCGCTACAAACGGGACACGCTCGCGCGCCGCCGGAGCGAAGCCCGCGCTGGCAGCGCGCGGCAGCCGCGCACGGACGGAGAGGCCGCTGCGGCGAGCGGCGCCCGCAGCCCCGGCGGGACGGAGGCCCAGCTCCGCCGCCTTCACTCGGCGCCGCGCCGGGGCCGCCTCCGCTCTGCTCCCCTGCCCGGACGGCACCGCCCGCAGCCGAGGCGCGCGGTAGCGCTCGGAACCCGCTCGCCCGCCACAGTCTCACCTCCCGTCCCGACGAGCAGGCTCCGGGCACCCAAAATGGCGGCACGGCGGCCTCAGCACCACCCGCGCAGGGATCCGCGGTGCCGCTCCGCCCCCAGCCCAGCCGGGCTCGGCCCGGCCCGGCCCGGCCCGGCTAGGTTCAATCGGGGCGGCGTGGGGCGGGGCGGGATGACGGTGCTTCAGGCGGGGAACCGCAGCTATCACCCACGGAGGAGCAGCACTCAGGGACTACTTTATCCGGCGGAGGGATCAGGATTCCGCATCTCACTTCACTGTCGCGCCGGCGCCCGCTGTCCGGCGCACAGGTTCCGAACACCGACCGTTCCGCGGGACCGGCGCTGACCTGCAGCCGGAGGGCGCGCAGGGGACGCGCTTCGAGCGCGCGGAGCGGGGCGGGGCGGGGCGGGGCGGGGCGGAG